GGTCTAGCGTGATAAACCTACCCAGACAATTGCATAATATTGCTGAAGTCAATCTCTTCAACCACCTTCAAAAGCTAACACAATGTTTGCCACTTCAGCAACTATCCTTATCAGCACACCATTCTCTAATCAACCAAGGCAGATCAGTCCTCCATTAGCTACAGTTGTCGGTAAACAGGGTTCACCAATCCCTTTCGAATATTTACTACTCACTTTTTAAAACCTTGCCGGACGACAATAACTTGCATCCAACGTAAGCCCGGTCTTCTCGTCCGAGAGGCCGCACACCGCAATGTCACCGTCGCGCTCGTTTCAAGAACGCGCAATGGCGGCGATAGAGATATGTATCCCATGTGACTTAACACAATTTACATTAATATCTTTCATCACCAGTTTCAACGTGATTCAATGTGATTATATGCTTATACCAAACGCAAACAACTTACAAGTGATGAGACCATATCATGGAGCAGCGCGATTTCGCATTTCCTTATTCATCTCTATTCTCTTCCACGTGACCTTGCCACCTGAAAAACTTACACATGCGCGCAGTTCGTCCAAGATAACACACTTTACACAACCGGAAGTAAAAATGCGTGTAATTACGTTTTTTCGAGGACCAGCTGAAAATCGAATAAACATGTTCAAACAAGACTAAATATCTCATTTAAGGCCTCTGAAAACCGAGGTCCGGCATTTGGACCTCGGTAGTGAATACCGGACCTCGGCAGTGACGGGTTGTTGGGTGTGTAACCGGATTTGGTCCTCTGTTTTCACGGACACAAGAGCACACACACACACACACACACACACACACACACACACGCACACACACACACACACACACAACACACACACACACACACACACACACACACACCACACACACACACACACACACACACACACACACACACACACCACACACCCACACACACACACACACACACCACACACACACACACACACACACACAGAAATGCGGTTGGCCAACCCTGTGCAGGTTTCTTTACGGGGGGACGGTTTTCATGGTGGTTGAGGCATTAATGGCAAAAGCTGTCAGATTTTCGCTAGATGCGGTAAATCTATCACCCGCCACCTTATGTAAGCCCAGCTATCGTGAGCCTCAATCCCGTCTTTTCCGTTTCCTGGCGTTCCGTCAGGTGGCAATGTGCATGTTCACTGTGATGCCTTCCCTGTGGGGCCTTCCTGCGAGGCCTTCACACACTCCTCTGGGCGATCACTTCAGCACAGCGGCACCATGAATGCGATTTGGTGTCATCCTTGACGTGCAGCCGCGGAACGCGACCGCGCTCCAGAATGATGAAAACACTTGTCGCCCCGACTGCGATTGATTTACAAGACATGAGATCCGCCCCCCCTGACGGGCGCCTGGTTGGCCGAGATCTGGTTTGACTGCAAGGTGACACAGGTCGGGGCGTATATAAGCCGGCCCCTGCTGGCACATCGGTATCAGTGCATCACCAAGAACGTCACCATGAAGACCGTAGGTGCTACGTGCTCAGACCACGGACACAAGGCGTTGCTTTGCAGGAGAAGGCGTCTGTGAACGTTTCGTGAGGAGTCCCGAGGGGTGATGGAGACGTCGTGTGTATACGCTGAGAACGAAATAAGTTCGTGGGTTTTCATGGATATGCACCGTGTGGCTCTTCTGCAGCTCTGCATTTAAAGGATCAGTTGTGTTTCGGATAATGGCATTGCGTTAATGAGAAAACCTGACCTCCTTCGGTGTGATGGCAACAAAATTCAGCCAGATAGACCTCAGAACGCATATTTGGGCTGTGATGTACGGTGTGCACTGTGCAGGCAGAGATGCCGTTAGGCTCAGTGTTGACAGAAGTCGCCTGTCACTGGACTGGAAGTCGCTCAGCTGTGGCGTATATTTACCAGGTTTTCTCATCCGCATATTTCTCTGCGTGTTTGTCCCCAGATCGTGCTCCTGTGCTTCGTGGCTCTGGCTTTGGCCAACGAAGACGCGAAAATAGTAAATTACCAGTTTGAAATTGCGGAAGACGGTTCCTACGACTCCAAGTAAGTGCTCTTTCATGTTCCATGCCGCAGTGTAGTTCAGGGTAACGAAGCATGAATGCATAGCATAGCATGTCATTCGTACTACGCAGTGCCAGAACATGCAGTAACACGTACAAACAGTGTTAAGACATGCGTAGTCATGTTACAAATGAGTCGAATGTTGCTCTACCACGCGATAATGATTGCGTTAATCGTCAAGGTTCTTTGTCATCGCAAAAATACTACCGTTACCATCCATTGTGCAATTCATTGTCAGTATAATGTAAGCCCTTGGATGCCTTCATTGTTATTGCACAGACTGCCGGAGCGATATGTCTGCTAAATTCTAGCCCGAGTAATCAACGATAATCGAGCGCTGGCATTCCAGGTTCCAGACCACCAACGGCATCAACGCCAACGAGGACGGCATCTCGTACCCGGGCAACGAGCCGGAGACTGGCAACTACGTGAGGACTGGCTCCTACTCGTACGAGTGGGAGGGCGTCACCTACACCGTCACCTGGACGGCCGACGAGAACGGATTCCACCCGGAGGGTGAACATCTGCCCGACTTCAGCCACACCCGCGAGCACATCGGCGACATTTCAGAGGGGCAGTAAAACACCCGGTTATCAGTCTTGAAACGTTCGGGAAGTATTGCGGTGGCGTAGGCGAATATGCCTCGATCATTTTCATCAAAGAATGTCTTTCGTTACATGTATGTTTGTCGTTCCCATCATTTAATGTCTGTTGTCAGTCCATTGTTATAATGTGAACATAATAAATACGTCGCCAACTACATCCATCGTACCTTATTCCGTCTTGATCGCGTGCGTCGCAAATCGATTTCGTGGCGTCTGTCATAAGTCCTGACGAATTTTCAGCCTCAGTGCACCTAAAAATCCAAGGAGCCAGGGATCAAATTGTGAATTTGGACGCAAGAGCCTCCTGAATTGCACTTTCCTGATTGCAATTTACTCGCCAGACATGAAGTAGTTGGTGTTAACTTCTAAACCGTGAAGATCGCTGCAAAAAGCGGGCTGCTTAACTTGGGGTAACTTAGCTGCGCTCTGCCTTGGCACCATACCTCAAAATATCTCCCCTACCCTTCAGTTGCTTTCCATGCATTTTATTTATATCTCAGAGACATCAGGTCATCATCATATTGTGATCAACGCTTGCTTTTCAATTGCATTGCGCTGTTATCATTGCATCAGGCTATGGATGTCAGTAGCGTAATGTTTGGCAACACAATTAAGTCAAGAGAGCAAAGGTAGATAAATATAACTGGCTTCTCGCCTCGAGATCTCCGGAACAACTGACATAGTTAACGCGTGTTCGGTTTGGAGGGGACATTATACCCGAGTAGGTTTCTCCAAAATAACTTTCCAACGGCGCGCCAAATTTTGTGCACCTGTAGGCATGGGCCATGACTGTCAGTGGATGCAAAAATAAACCACCTTGTTACTGGAGAACTCCTTTTAGGGGCCACCTTTTGACGCCCATTTTTAACTAGCTGATCACATGGACATTAACAGACATCGTATTTGGACTTCATGTCCCGATTATTCGGACCCGAGTACAAAGCTGCAGTTGTCGCGACCGCCGTCGCCATGACAAACGTTGTCATGACAAACGCCGTTGTCTAGCGACGGCAGAATTGTCTGCGAACCATTGTCAGCTGTTACCGTTTAGAGGTTCCATTTATTTAATCCTTTTAACCAACACTCAGCGGGCCTGCGGGCTTAAAGGGAATGTTTCGCATTTGAAAATATGAAACCAAGTATCAGATATGACGGAAAAACTTTGGGATAACATGCGTTGGAAAAAGCAATGCAACTGAAATGAATTACTTTCCTAGCACTTAGCGAGGAGTCCGTTAAGATTTTTCCAGCATAAGGGGCTAATTTAAATTGAAGTTGTGAGCTATTCAGAGGACTTTCAAGAAAAGTGGTATTGCCCATCCAATCGGACGCTTCTGATCTCGCAGCAAGTGAAAAGTGCAAAAAATGTGGCGGTTTTAGGTCTCAGAGCTAGCAACGCAATGCCCCTCTTTGATTAAGATGCCCCTCAATACGTCAGTGTCTGATTAAGTCATGGTATTTTGCACAACATTGATTGAGGGTCCATTAGCGGCCGCTACGTGCTCATGAACACCAGATGTAAACGGCCCAATCATTATCTCTTTCTGGGCTTTGAACGCCGCATGACCGATGGAAACGTAGGAATTGAATAACGGTATTAAGGTGTCATGGATGCCTGGGTGACCTTGAAACAATCAATCCGAAATGGTTTGCACATCTTCCCTGGCGTGTAGCTCAGAAACTAGGAGGGTTTGGATCTAAGAAGGGCATTGCTGTGAGCTGCCTTGAGTGATCTTTAAGATGGATGTTTCATTTCAAAGCCCATATCAATGTAGAACACCGTTTTTAAGCACAGCAAATGCTGGACAATTTAAATCACATCAGCGTCCAGATTCTCGTGACCAGACGTAGCAACAAGATTGACCGCGATACCACAATACCGCTGTACCACAATGCTAGGACGGAAGAGAAAACAGACAACTGCATCAACAGAAACGGAAGTGTGTGTGTAAAAGGTCACCAGATCTCATGCACAAACCGGGGTTTCGTAGTTTTCAGGGTGTTCACATATCGGATTTACACCTTAAGAGCCAGAACAGGTGCAGACATCAAGTCAAGTGCACGGTGGCGGCGGAAGTATTGACTACAATTTGCTAACGGGTCTTAATAGTTCTGACCCCAAGGCTCCCCAGTAATCGAACAGAGTTGTCACCTAAGCCGCCATTGATGAGGTTATAAAAATTAGGTAGTCGTGAAACAGTCTGTTTGTGACTGATATCCTTTTAAGGAGACGGCAGTCTTCACAATTTTCTGACAATTGCAAAACAAAGAAATAAAGTCGAATTCTTCAACGTCCTCATTTAAAATTTAAAAACTTGTAGCAGGACACATAGTCGGTTTTTTAGGGGGTTACTGGTCAATTGGCGTGCGTATGCCGCAGCACCTGCCCTCAAGCTATTAGATTCTAAAAAGGCTGGACTTTCAGCGTATTTTTTCAGTGCAAGGTTTAATTGTCCATAGCCGAAGGTGTCGGACTGCATAAGCTTGCTTTTGGCATCATCTACATACTGTCGAATGGTACCTGAGGTACCTACAGCTGACAGACGTCTGTTAATTACGTTAATCATGGCAAGATCATCCTAAGTGTTTTCCTACGCCTATAAAGGGATTTGGTTACAAATGACTAACGTTCAAAATATTGATACCGGGCACAGGCTCCACCGCATCCAGATTGACCACTGCACGCGAAAAGCACGGAATAGACATGACTTGAAAAGAATTCGCCAACGAAGTTACACAAACTGGAACTGAAAACACCAAGTCATTCTGCATTTGTCCCAAACTAGCAATGTCCCACTTTGTACGATATCGAGATGCCGAGCGTTTTCAGTAGCGCAGCCAGACCATAACGTTCCGTAACATATGGCAATCAATGTACTAACCTCACATTCGACGACTAGCCACGGAAACTGTTTCTTCATGTCAGCCAAGGGGTCCCTGTATTTCATGAGCAGGCACCTTCTCCTTCGAACGTCTGGTCCTTCAGGCAACGTACTCTTCAGCGCTTGGGTCCGTTTGATCTTTGAATTTGTAGATGGAATCATCTCCGCGCCATCTTCTTGCCGTCTCCGCTACCGTTCCCGTCTCCGTTACCGTCTCCGTACCGTCTCTTACCGTTGCCGTCTGCGCGCCGTCCTCGGTGGGCACGGTGTCATAGTTGGGCAGGCCAGCCTTCGCCAGTTGCAGTCGTCTGGACAAAGTGAACCGCTTCGCCGGCCGCGTATCGGGCCTGACTTCCGGATGTCGGTGGCATGTGTGACGTGTGTTTTTGAGCTTGCACTTCAGCTTCGCTCTTACTGTGAAAACACGTGAAAGTGTCACTCTCCACGAACAAGGCCTGGCGAACGCGTCTTCGGGGTACATGGCATGATCACAGCTATGTAATTACTACTTTGTCCACGTAGCACGCACGCACGCACGCCAAACGAAGAGACAAAAGTACGCAGAAAGCCAGGCACATGTGCACATATATATGTACATTAATGCAGGAATACATGCATGGATGCATATATGTATACGTACACATGAGCCCGTATACATGGATGCACGCATGCATACGAACATGCATATGTGCATACATGCATGCATACATACTTCCATACATAATCGCTCCGTTTCATTCACGCATACCCAACAGCACCCACATACCTATCACGCGCAACAACACAAAAACACGCGCTAATAAACGTGGGCAAGGGCACACGAGGCACAGAGCATGCACAAACACACGCACACGAATTAGGCGTTTCAACGGTGTCGCCACCATACAAACAAGCCGAAGCGAGGCATATCTACGATAAAGACGTCTCGCAGTATCTCAGATCGAACTAGACAGGTAAGCGATAAAAACGGCTGGCAATCATCCAACTTACTCGTAGTTCACCACCGTACTTTCTGGATGTGCCACGATCCCAGCCTCTCGCGATCCTGACCTGTGGTGGACTCGGCGGAGAATAAGACATGAATAATTACGGTGGATTCCAGGAGCATGGCTCTCGGTTGGAGGGATTCGCCCAGGGCACCGACGAGTTCAGTTACCCAGTTAAAGAAAATGCTTCACAATTGAAGGCATTAGAGCCAGCATCAGATATTATGAAAAAGCTCACTTATACCTTTTGGTACATTTTTGAGCAGAAAAGACTGGCCTAGACAACAGAGCTTCTCTGTTAAAAAATATACTTCTCAACACGGCATCGTTTAAGATGTCATCGCACCTTGCGCAGCATTGATTTGAAAGCCTATTGACGGCCGTTTTATCCGGAAATAATGCTCACGAACGTTAGATGTGAATGACTCGACAATTCTATTTTGCATGGCATTGATCGCCGCATGGCTAATGGAATGGCAGAATTTGAGCACTGTCCTAGAATTGATGATTTTGGGTGCAAAGTAACACCGTATGAGGATAATTTTTTCAATTATTTTCCCCACATCCTATGTGAATTTTTCACTCCTGCCTGACATCGTCTAATCACAAATGCCAAACCCTTATTTCCCTTTCTGAGATTTTCAGATGTCATCCAAAGCCGAGCTCGCTTGAAACCACCAAGCATAAACGGGGCTCCACAGAACCTGGACACCTATGACTATGTCCCGCCTGACCTACATCTGAATCATGTCTATGTATGCACAGAGCAAGGGAGCCAGGTACCTCCAAGCCCAGGAACCCGGGCAATCCAGCCGCGTGCACGCATTAAGTTTGGTTTGGTTACAAAATGCATCACCATCGGCAGCTGTGTGCCAAATGCAAGGTTTTCACGCATCCCCCACTTATTTATTTTTGTTGTCTCACCACCATACCATGAAAGCAGAGCCTGGTGCAAACACCAGCAAGGCCCGGTAGAGAATTTTACTCTACGTAGTTCTTTTTCCCGGGAAAACTTGACCACTAAATTGCACGTCTCTCCCGAAATGCAGGAGTGAAAAATTCAAGAAATGTCTTCTAAATTAGAGTTACAAGATGAATATCACCATTTCAGCACCCATGTTAACAGATTTTAAGTGAAATCAGCTGACAACCAAATTTTGCCGGAAAGTATCAGTCTTTATATTTATGTAACTGCTTTTGTTTTTTCTTGGTATCATGCGAGTGTGATACCACTTTATTCTTTCTTCCTTTTCGATTGCCTTTAGAGGTACCATCGGTTGCTTGAAACATTGACCAATATTTCTGCAAGATGCTCCAACTGCAACCTTGTACACATTTTATACATAAATTGGATTAATTCGCCAGCCGCTCAAACATGTTTGATATGCACCCACGAGTGAACAATTCAAAGGGAATGAAGGAGACCATTTGAAGCGCGGAACTTATTTTTACCGCCATTTTTACCCCATTAAACCCTTGCTACACCATTTTCTTGGTTTATGTCGGCGCTCAATAATGATAAATCTGAGCATTTCAGTGTCTAACCCACCAGGCTACCTGACAAGGCTATCCTAATGCTGCCATGCAGAGCTTTGGGACAAACCTAACGCAGCTAATACAGAAATGTTTGATGGCGAAATTCTGCCCTTTGAAGATGTTTATCGTGCACACCTCTTACTTGCTTCGCATCTTAATCTCGTACGTTGGTGGGCATGATTGACATTTATATTTGAGGGGTTGAGTGGGGTGACTCTGTCTGCCAGCAGACCATGCAAAAGGTACTGGCTTTTTGTTTTGGGGAAGCAGGAAGAAGCCAGCAAGTCTCCTGTGGACCAGGTAATTGCTTACCTTACCTGCTTTTAAAACATTATTGGTAACCAGAGTCAGTCATTTTCTGTTTTAATCCATCGAGTTTTGTCATAAGACAAATTATGACGCCACAAGGCATGCCATGGGCTTATTTTGTTCCATATTCTTGATTATTTGCCCCAAATTTCCTGAAGTGGTCTCTGATGGCTGCTTTAACCAGATGTTTTCTATAGTTGTCATGGTTTGCTGACTGGCACATGACTGCACTGCATATATGCACCATATTTTTAACACAGGGATACTCTAAGCTGCATAGCAATTATGATACGGGTTAAATATTAATATGTAACAAATAGTCAGAGCATCCCATTTAAAATGTGAAGCCAATATCTCAAACTTTGTCATTAAATATGAATAAACAAGCCTAAATAGATGTCTTTGCTGCAGCTGAAAAGGCAAGCAGCAATACGGGCATGGCCATCTAAAAGTTATGTTACTTTTGGAGAAGCGAGATTGTTTTGTAGAGCATATCCATTATTGCCTCTGACATAGGTTAACCATGACAATCAAAATAAGTTGTTCAAAGTGACTTAAAGTATTTTGGTTTGTGTGTTGTCAACTTTGTCTGATGTCAACAAGCATACACAAATGAACTAAATAAAAATTGCAAGTTGAAACCAGCCAAAAACTAGCTTTATCATGTTGTTATCACAAATGCTGCTGTCAACAGATAGGTGAGTTGAGATGATGTTCAACATATGGGCTACTCTAAGTTAGGTTAAGCTGGCCAAGTGCATGGCAAGTGGCAATAGGAATTGTGCAAGAATCAGTAACTCACAACTGCTGCTGTGATACAAACAGGTTAGACAGGATGAGATGAAGTAAGGCCTCTTTAGGTTAGGCATAGTTAGGCTGCTTTCATGGAAATAAGCATTGGTATTTTGCAAGAAACAGTGGGGAAATGTTTGTTTTCCCTGACCCCACCTTAACAGAAGCCAGAGGTATGTCTATTGTGTTTGACTTGGTGATGGGCTGATGTGTAGGACTCCAAGGTTTTTTTGTTTGGGTGTTTTATGCTTGTTGAACTTTCTGTTCTTATTTTGTCATTGAATTCCTTTGCTTTGTTTCGTGTTAAAAGTGCTGTAGAAGGGTAGTGCAAAGTGATGCATCAAATCATTGGTGTCAATAATTTTTATGCTCATTACACTGTCATGGAATTACTATGCTTAAATGTATTCTGTTTCACATTTATGGCATTTATGTATTGTATATGTATGTATTATTTATATATTATATATTATTATATATTTATGCATTTATTATTATTAAATGTATTATGTTTCACATTTATTTAAGATGTAAAAAACGAAACAGTTTTGTCAGGTTTTTCGTATCACGTCCATGCCAACTTGAAATAGATATCTGTTTGCTGAAGGATCAGTCGCGAGCTCATAAGTTCCATATTTTGTGGAATTTTTTTTACACTCCCGTACGGTCTTTTTGCGATGAAATTTTTCACTCCCACCCTAGCTCGAAAGCGATCCTAGCTCTCTCAATTTGAGTGATTTTGTTATGGCATCATGGATGCCACGCAGAAAATAGAGTGGATTAGGTCTTAAGAAGGGCAGGGCATTAAGCTGCACCGAATGATCTTCAAGATGGCTATTTCTGTGCAATACCCAATACAAATGAGAAACCCTCCGCTTAACGTAGTCCCTGGCTCCAGGATACCTGGGGAAAACGACTGTCGTGGAACAGGTCAAACTGTCGTTGGCTGCACGAAGGGGACACGTGACGTGTAATAGCATTTTGCTTATTCCCATATACCGTGGCTTCGTGGCTTCTTTGGTAAGTTAGTGAAATGACTCGCTGCTCCCCAATGAGCTAGTGCTTGTGTTGCATTTGGAAACGCCGATCCCGAGTCGTCGCAGTAGCATCTGGAATGGGCGGTAGGAGTGTTCCATGCTGCGGTGAACGGAAAACAATCATTTACGTCTGTCCTAATCGAGTGAGAGGATTAAAGGGCACATGACGCCTTGTTAGCACTCCCGGTAATCCAATTATACCATTCAGCAATCAATTCAATAGAGCGATCTCCCAGGACAGCTGGCTAGGCACACCATGTACAGGGAGCAATTTTGTTGTCACTCACCCGCTAAACTTACCGTCTGCCGCGGCGAACATCTGCATGAGCTCCGACCAGTGGCGATTGCTTGACTGCTCCGTTCCGGCCAGGGCGGTCCGACAATAGGGCGCCAGGCAGGCCATATGTTGGAGTTAGGCACATTGGTCACGGAATTTAGCCGTGCCTATTTCTGGCTTTACGTGCTTCAGCTACGCAGCTTGTAAAAAGTAGTTCGTGTGTACTGGGTTATGATTATGGTTGCCGCCTTGAGACAGACTTTGCCTCACAAGGAAAAGCCATTTATCTAATCGACGTCATATCCTACATCGAGTGTAAAAATATACACGCCACTACCATGATCTGGCCATAACAAAATAGCACGTGAATATATGATATGCACAACGGATGTTGTCCTAAAAGATCTGATGACGAGACGAGGCGGACAGACGAGTCACGAGACATCAGCAACCATGCTCACGATCGTCACCCTTCTCAGAAATGTTGATACTAAAGCTTCGCGCGGATTTATTACTAGCCGGTCTCGCTGAGCCCTGGTAAGTCCACCCACCAACCCGTGTTACCAAAATTATGCTTCCAGTCCGATCCGATGAAACAAACTTCTGGGAGCTAGAGACGGTACGCTCAGCCCCCATCTTGGCTCCCGCGCTTTATCTACCATCTCCATCCGACGGGCCTCCAAGCCCTGAGCGGCTCCCTCGTTACCAGCTACATCCTATGGCTTGAAAAGGGTAGCCTCCGTCCATGGCACTGGCGTTCGACGTGACATGCGCGGTGACAGGTGGTGGCATTTTCATCTGGTCTGTCCAAGCGCACCCCCCGTGAGCGATCTCGCCGCCAGTAATTCACTGGGTTCATAGAGAGTGCAGTCGGCATATCGTAAATCCATGCGGCCAGCTGATGTCATGTGCCAACCGCACTTACAAAAAGAACTTGGACGGCCCGCGCCCACACCGGCAAGAGGAGCATCACGACACCGCGAGAGGAACCTCCGTTTTGGAAACGCTTGCCGGCGACCACGCATTTAGAATGTAGCTTCTATGCGACACTATCAACGGGCTATCAAATGAATGCATGTTGCGACGGGATGGGTCGACGGTTACAGACATTTTGATCCGGTTGTCTGTGAGCGGAGGTTATTTCTCGGTCGTCAGCTAAGCTCTCAGGAAAAACGTGACTCGAGAATAGAGCTGGGTGTTCAAGCTTTTTTCAATGCTGTACTTTTCATAAATATTCAGAGAAAGATTCAGACCACGGTCACCCCTAGCATCAGATAGAAAATTTGCATAAGCTGGTCAATATCGCAATGCCGTTAAAACCGCCATTGGGTAAGAAGTGTAACAAGCTACGACGCACTGTCATGGCCTGTATCTTGCCTCTTGCCTGTTGCCTTTGTACTGCAATAACTCTGCAGGTTGCTGCATTCACTCTTATCATATGAAGGCCGCACATGCGCTCGTAATGCTTTCATCGTGGTATGGCTCAAGTACGTAACGTAAGAGTTTGACAATAATGGCAGCATTTCAGATGTCCGGGATTTTCTTGAGTTGGAAAGCCCATCACCGGTGCGAGTTTGTTTTTGCTCGTTTCGGGAAAAACAGCATGGGAAGCTCTTGTCAGGCTGCGTTCTTTAGCATCTGATTGCGTAAACTTATCATCACCGCACGCTGTCAAAAAGCGCATTCGTGAATACTCGGCTGTGTAGATCTTCCGAACAGAAGCTGTCCGGTGACATTTCCTTGCCACCTTTGTCAGCATCTGTTTTAGTAAAATGTGGAGTCATGAATGCATCCTCGCTTGGGGGGAGCCCCCGCGTGCATTACGAAGACTGCTGGTCCGAGTTGACAGGCGGGAGTTTATCATGTTGTTTTTATTCTTTCACGATATGACAACAGGGTAACAACGGACAACACTCACCAAGAACAACCTGGACGGACGGAAATTACGGCGGACATGGCTCAGCTGAATGGGAAAGGCCCGGTCATTTGCAATGAGTCCAACCCTTTCCATAATCTTTTCGTACAATTTTGATGTCATTGACTGCATGTTACTCAACATCCGAAACGCCTCCGATGTGCTCGCGGGTGTGGCTGAAGTCGGGCAGGTGGTCACCCTCCGGGTGGAAGCCGTTCTCGTCGGCCGTCCAGGTGACGGTGTAGGTGACGCCCTCCCACTCGTACGAGTAGGAGCCACTCCTCACGTAGTTGCCAGTCTCCGGCTCGTTGCCCGGGTACGAGATGCCGTCCTCGTTGGACGAGATCCCGTTGGTAGTTTCGTATCTGAGAAGCAAGGCAACAGTTAAAGTTTTCGCTTCTGTTTCGCGTTTGATGGTCGCCATTTCCAGGGAATTTAAATGATTTACGTGATAAGTTACCAATGTGTTCCACGTGGTTTTAAGCGTGCTGGTGATATAGCATACTTCATAAACATAAGCAGCAAAGCAACGAAGAAATGCACAGGCGATGAAAGGTTGTGATGTGTCCATGTTGGTCACAGCGGTTTACAAAAACGTATGCGGTTCCTTACTCGGCAGCGTAGGCACCATCCTCCTCAATCCCGTACTGGAAGTTGACGATTCTGGCGTCCTTGTCGGCCACAGCCAACGCCACGAAGCACAGGAGGAGAATCTATAGCAGAAAAGAATATACGTTTTGGCCCACTGGTCTCCACAGCTGGGCTTATACAATATTCAAGATGAACGAAGCAAAATAGCACAACTTTTGAAAAAATGGCTCGATAATGATATTGTTATTTCATCTCCATCTTATTATATACACATGCATATACATATATATATATATATATATAGCATACACACACACACATATATATATATATATATATATATATATATATACACGACGCATGTGGTATTCTGCACGGTGATATACACACTGATGTACAAGCGGTTAGACCTGCCGCCGCTGCAAGCGCCACTTTTCATTCTGCACGAGTCACAGCCCTCGCCGGGTAACTCACGGTCTTCATTGGTAGGCTTGCGTTGGTCCACTGATGCTTCTGAATGGCTATGCGTCGGCTTATATAGTTGGCGGGAGGCCATCACCTCCAGGACCAACCAGAATTCTGTGAATTTGGCCGGCGGCCCAACCTTGAGCGTTGACGTGCAGATGCCGATTGAGAGGCGGCAGACAATCGGCATGTCCCGTGCAGGATGATAGATCCGCTGCAGAGAAGCGCTGGGATGGTCCAACGCATGGGTACTCGACCGCAGCCTGTGTTGCGTGCCAGCTTCGTTTTTGTTGGCTTTATTCCGCTGAATGCGTGGGCTGTCTCAACGGATTATTACGAAAAGAATCGTAAGAATGACACTGACGATGGCTGATTGACTTGCAGTTTTGTGGATAGCCTTCACGGCATGGTTTATCACCAGTAAGCATTATTTCCATTCTTACCTCGTGCGGACCCGTTTTGACGTTAGGGTGTCGATGCTCCAATAAAAAAGAGGTAAAAGACCTGCTGGGTAATTTAACCCGAGATCAAACATCAAAATCAAACGTTTTGAGATCAAAATCAAACATCGAGATCAAACGTTTTGATGCGATGTAGTGCATTTCCGACTTGTTTACGGGTGATGCGACTTCGATTGATTGCGATTTTATAGCACTGCAACTTTGCGCATTATTTGTCATTTGTTGTGCAGCCTTCGTTCTTGTTTACAAGGGTCACATCACCTTTCTTTTCTAACATGAGCAGGGGGCAATGTATTTTGCCCACCATAAAATGTTTCAAATTGTTTTTGTAAATCCATGCAAAAGGTCGCAAGTAAATGACGCGTACGTCACGTACAATCCTCTTGCAGGTTCTATGACTGACAATTTTCCACCGAGAAGAAAACAATACACCGCATGCCGATCGATGAAAACACAGAACTGGTGTCATACTCCGCATCTTCCTCATCTTGGCTTTATAAGATGGCCTGCCACCTGCATTTTCATCAATGTCGTATGGACCGAGCTAGCCTGTCCGCCAGCAGTACGCCCAAAATAATCTTCCCTGGGACCATACCGAGCGTAAAGTGGATTTTTGCTCGAACTGCATTTTGACAGATGTCAATTGACGGCTTGAAAGGGCCTTTTCGCCTCACGCACTATTTACAATGTCTGCTTAAACTTGCGCGCGCATGCACGGACACTCAGGACGTTGGATCTATCCCTGCCTACCTCTATGGGTCCGAGTGCCTTGAGCTTGTTTAGTGATCTATCTTGACGTCACATTGTCCTATACGGTACAGATGATCGTACGCCATTGTCCGGCTGCGCTGTCGAGACCCGACATGAACGTTGAAAATTGTTGCCAAACTGCCGAACCGATTCTTTTTGTGCGAGCGCACGTGCGTGGCTGCATACGTCGCCTCCTACGTTTTTTAGTGCGATTACCCGTTCCTTTGCCAAAGTCGTAATTTGCTGATTTGGTTCCACTGCGACCCTGCGTTGCTGAGAGAGCAGTCCAGTTGCCGTCCGCCATGCGATGATTTTTGGGTAATTTTTGAAGCTCACGTTTCTCATGTTAAACCAATGAGAGCCATTTCCGCCTGTCACGTGAGTTACACCACTCGCACAGGCACGGCAATCGTAAATCACATTTCATAACCGTATTCGATTGTATGTAATCGTATTTCAGTCTGAATTAAACTGAATGACAAATGAATTAAGGAAAGGAATGATTCTTCTGAACCTGACACCCACGTGCAGGATTCATTCAATTTAAGCTACGTCTCACCCAAATCGTTACGTATCTGTTGCTCCGTTACTGGCCCCAAACAACATGGCTTACTCAGACAATGTCATATTGCCAAGTGCGATATGGTCATTTGACAATACAAAATATCCTTTTGTGATATTGCCAAATGTCATGCTGTCAAATGTCACATGGGCTTTGTGTGCGCGGAAGAGGTGGAGTACGAACATAAAGCACGTATTAACTTGCCGTTTCTTCTTAAAAAACAGGCATTCTAAAAAGACTCACGGGTCACGATCCGTCTCCCATCACCTGCCACGAATGATTCCTGAGTGGAGCGATTAGCTTAACGAGGCACTCATCTGCTGAGGTTATATGGCGTCGCTTGCCTCTCGCCCTGGTATGGCCGCGGCCACGCCTCCAGCGTCGCCACAGCCACCTCTCGGGAGATTGAAGTACTTCAAATGAGTGCTATGGTGGCGATTTCACACGGCTTGTTTGGCAGCACCTCAACGTCATACGAAAGTCCACCATATCATTTGTGGTCGCCTGAGGATGCCCAAAGATGCCTCAAAGTGCGCGTCAAAATAGGCATTGCGTGAGCAAAAGCAAAGGAAGACTCAGGCTGGGACGCCAGGGTTGGCAACGTCATCAAGAAGAGGGAGGTCGGTTAATGGAGTCAATTGTTACTGTAACAGAACGATAGTTTCCTGAATGACTGCTCCTGAACCGAGAGTTCAAGCGGCAGTCGATGTAACAGAAACACGGAAACTTGTTCAGCTCCCAAAACAGTTCGCGTGCAGACATCCTCCGAAAAGGTGATGTGCGCCGTGTTCTGGAACTACAAGGGCATATCATTAAAATACTCAGCTCCCAAAGGTACCATTGTCACAAGCCCGTTGTACGAAACCATCCTGAGTAAACATTTACTTCCAGCCACCGCCACGCACCGTCCAGTGAACACACGCAGCCGGTTCGTTCTCCACCACGACAACGCCCCGCCTCATCGTGCCACCGCTGTGACTGGAACTCCTGCTGATGAGCATTGAGCTGCTGGAACCACCCTCCGTCTTCCGCGGACCTCGCCGAAGGTCGATTCTGATTGATACACATACATGCGCTGTCCACAAGCAAGTGGACCTTATCTTTAGGACGCACTGGTGCTTGTCTGTCCACAACAGAACATGTAACTTAAATATGCATTGTTACGAGTCTGACGAGTATATTTTGCTAACCGGAGCAGACCGGATTGCATTCAGAAATTTGAAAAAGCCGCACTGGCGGGCAGACTGTATTCTGGAGCGCCGGATCGTACTGGACGGGATTAGTTCTAGGGTTGGGGTAGCCAGGGTTAGTTCAGTCGGCATCCAGGACCGCAACAATGCAGTCACCGCAACCGGCAAACAGACCGCAAACAGATGGTCAGTCAGCAGACGCGCAGGTGGAACAGGCCAGCAAAAGGTTGATCGGAGCCATTTTATGTCCGTGACCTCTGATCTTTATGAAGTCAGAGACGACATTCATGTTGACGTCCCTGTGATGAGAAAATTTGACATTCCACAATCATCTAATTGTCTAAGAAACCCCCTCAAATGCGTACGGCCTCGTCTTTCACTCCGATGTCACATCAGGTTGAATGATTCCCTAGCAATTGTCTTCGTTGACAGCCATTGTCTGAGTTTGGCCTGCCATAGGTCAGCAACCAAGGATGTACATTTATTTTGCGTACATCAAGATCGGCTTTTTAATTTTATTTTACCCTTCACGGTGTACAACAGCTACGCTGCGCCGTTGGGAAGTTATTTTGAAAAAGCCTTCGGGGTCAAATTGATCGTCCAGCGCAGGAGAAAATACTGTACAGAAAGATGGGCATTTCACGAATGGATATGCAAGTTTGCACGGACGGATATTACGGTCAGATTGATACATTTGTATGGATGGATACGGCGGGCGAATGGACAAAATTTGTAGGGATAGATGCGACGGGGAGGTCTGCAAATTCGCACCGTTTATATCAAAGAGCATGGTCGGGCTGATGCGAACAATCAAAAAGGCATCGGGTTCGGTTGCTAACCGGCTTTCAAATCGATTCCATGCTCTTCCCCGCACCAAACTAACAAAAGACCTTCAGCTCCAGGTTACTAGGGCTTATCGGATCAGCGTTTTGTTTGCAACTTATCTATCCTCTGTGTGCCACGAGGCAATGGTTAAATGGCATTATGGTGCACATATTGGCGGTATTGAGGGTGCTCGACGTTTCAAGGAAAGCAATTTCTCACAGGTGACTAGGCGCATGTCATGCAACGCAACGCGGTTCCGCGAAATGAAAGACTATCTAAACATGAGAATGATATCATTGCTCCGTCCATTACGAACGGTGTTGTTGATATGGTTACAGAGCGATTCACCTCAAGAAAATGTAGACGGAGGAAGCATTCTTGACAAGTTGTGCTTCCGCTTTCCAATCTTGTAAGGTATATCAGGTCATTGATCATCGGGCAGATCATTTTCAATATACAAAGGGCCTTCATATGCTTGGACCACGTCGAACCTTTGAAGCCTATTGCCGTTAGACCGTGGTGGCTAGATGGTGTAATATGCCGGGAGAACTGCCGACTTCTGGTTCTTTTCTGTAAGTTGCTTTAGTCAAGACCGGGGGGTCCAAAGTCTATCATAAAATATTCAGCAACTGCGCACGTTTCACGGCTTGGCCATGGGTTAGCCACGTTAAAGTGCCCTTTTTTCAGGCCACGGCTTGCTAAATATTAAATATATAGGTTCACTCAGAGTGCATCGAAATGAAGCTTGAACACTACCCTTTCAATTTCCGGGATTAAAAACGTGCGGTCCTGGCACTCCTTTTCGGGCTATCAGGCAAAGCGTAGACCCATACACACGCCGCGATGTCGAGACGCGGGATCGAAACCTGTTGCCGCCAACTCTTTTCAGCAGAGTTGAGTGGAACACACACTCATGGTCTTTAACTGGCGATAGAAATGCTCGTACACCGATCTTTTGACTAGTTATATATATATATATATATGCATGTATATATATATATATATATATGTATATATGTATATATATATATATATATATATAATTTTATATTATATATATAACATACATATATATAAACATGTTGTGTGTGTGTGTGTGTGTGTGTGTGTGTTGATGTGTGTGTGTGTGTGTGTGTGTGTGTGTGTGTGTGTGTGTGTGTGTGTGTGTGTGTGTGTGTGTGTGTGTGTGTGTGTGTGTGTGTGTGTGTGTGTGTGTGTGTGTGTGTGTGTGTGTGTGTGTGT